CACCCCCCACCCCCAGGGCGAGGCCCGTGTGTTCAAGTACTTAGAACCAGGAAACATTGACGTTCAAGCCAGGAGAAAGAAAGTCCAGGCAATGATCAACTCACAGTCCACGTTCTTCAAGAAGAAGAAAATTCTAAACTTTGTGGAAGACAGAGACTACAGTAGGTGGCCAGTCAAACTGTTTGTTTTGTTTTGTTTTTATAAAGTGTTTTTACGGCGCTCGCAACTGCATAATGTCATATGAGCGCGCGGGACACACCTAATATTTTCAGTTGGTAGGAAATTTGGAATTTTGCCCGGGTGGCGGCCGAAGCCTACTCTTATCGATTTTAGACCACCAAGGTGCAACTTGCACACGGGCCCTCCGAGATTTTTTGCCCTTGTCCGAGAAGGCTAGGTGTAGATCTTTCCTACCAGAAGATCAGGGGTGTGCCAGAAAGACAGCAGTAAGGAGGAGCTAAGGAGTAGCAGTAGAAAGGCTGCAGGAAGAGTCAGGAGCCCAGAGGAGGGGGCAAAGGAGGTGAGGGGGTCGGGGCAGAAAGTGGAAATGAAAGCAGACAACAGAACATTTCTAGAGAGCAGGAAAGGAGGTGAAAGGAGACACTTTTAGAGAAAAAAAAATTTGGGTCGCTACCCGGATTCGAACCCGGGACCTTTGAATGAGAGGCCAACACCTTAACTTTTAGGCCACGAGAGCCCCCCAGTCAAATTAACCTGAGGCTTGCTGGTGTTAATAGAATGTAATACAATATCTTTTGCATATTTATTTGTTTATTTGTTTGTTTAATGATTTGTTTGTTCGTTTGTTTGTTTGTTCGTTTGTTTGTTTGTTCGTTTGTTAGTCAGTCAGTCAGTTTTGTTTGTTCGTTTGTTTGTTCGTCTGTTTGTTTGTTTGGTTGGTTGGTTGGTTGGTTGGTTGGTTGGTTGGTTGGTTGGTTGGTTGGTTGGTTTGGCTATTGTTTTTTTTTTAACGGAGCTTTTCTCCCAAAAGATGGAGACTAAATGGGTGGTGCAGAAACTACAGTACATGTCAAGTCAAATTAATCCAAAGCTGGCTTGCGTCAGTACAATCTGGCAACGTAGTTAGGTTTCCGTTCTGTTTTCGTTTGCTTTGTTTTAATTAGTTAACATTGACATTTCCTTCAAGGATAAGAAAACTAAAGTTGTGCTGCAGAGGTTGCCGTACGTCTCAAGTCAAATGAACTTTGGTCGTCCAAGCTTGTTAGTGATTGTGCAATGTTATTGTTGGGTTTTAATTGTTGTTGTTTTTATTTTTTGTTAACCCTATCCGTACGCCCTGGGATCATTTTGTACCCTGGGGTTGTATTCTTCACATTTTAGAATATTTTTAGTGCTCTTTGTAACTTTCGGTATTTCTCAAAAAATCGTTTTGACAGACTGCTATGCAAAGCGTACGGATCAGATTAACGAGTAAATTTCCTCTTTGGAAAGTAATGGCACAGAGTTCCCCACGTCGTGTGGATACGATAGTAAAACACGAAGTACGGATAGTATTAATTTGTCAGTTTGTATGTTTGTTTTCTTGTTTATGGATTTTGTGGAGGACAGAGCCCATAAATTAACTTGCGAGTTCAAGATAATTACTGTCAATGCCATGCAATAGCATGTGTGTTGTTCTTTTTTTCTTCTTAGATTACTCCGAACATATAATTTCTTAAATTAATAGAAATAAAAATCGAAGTTTACAGAGGACAGAGACAATGAATTAACCCGCTTAGTTCAAGCTTGCTAGAGTCAGTACAATGCAGTACCACTTGGATTTTTTTTTCATGTTTTTTTTCTTGGGTTTTCTTTTCTTGAGGATAGCACCAAACTTTTTCTTCAAAAGGAAAGACATTCTGTGGAAGATAGAGACCACAAATCGGTACCAAAGAATTATAAAATTCTGTCTGTTCAGTAGGCCCTACCTAGTTTTAAAAACTTTGACGTCAAAAATTCTGAGTTTCACATTATGTCAAGCTTTTTAATACAAGTCTTTGAATATCTTGATAACGACTCCGAATAATCTAAAGATTTTGATGGAGCAGATAAATAGAACATGTAATTTCTGACCTTATGGTCTTATAAAAGTAACTCAACACGGCCGAGAAGGTCAGACAGAACTTTGTAATTCTTGAGGCATCGAAATGTTGATTAACCTCGACAGTTCAAGATTTAATTGTGTAAGGACAATGCAGTACTGTGACTTTCGGGATTACGTCAAACATTTCAGGCCCAGTGGCGTTGTTTTTATTGATGTTATACAACATTTCTGGCCCAGTAGTGACGCGTGGCTGTTTGTCATAGATTGACAGGCACCAATTAATATGGTTGTGTAGCGAAGGAGTATTGGCATCCGGTGAGTCCCAGTAATTTGGACGTGATTTTCAAAGCAGTGTCAAAAGCTATTAGTTCGCTGGTGATTTTGTTGTTGTTTCTTTTGCTTAAGCTTTGGTTTGGGAGAGAGGTCGCAGTGTAATTGTAATTGTGCGGATTTCATATTCCTTCTCAGAGATGGCAGTGAGATTAAGCCTCCATCTTTCACGGTCGCTAGCTACTGTTACACATTCTGCCATATCCAGTCCAGTCCATGTTCTTATGTTGTCCATCCATGTTATTCTTTGCTTTCTTCTGGCTCTCCTGCCACACATGTTTCCTTCAAGCCCCCCTTTCACAATGGATTCCTTTAGGAGGGGAACACACATTTATCGAGATCTTCGTCCATCTGCTGGGTCAACGGTGTATTTATCTCAGCCAGAGTTGGCAGGGGGGCTCTCGTGGCCTACAGGTTAAGATGTTCGCCTCTCATCGAAGGTCCCGGGTTCGAATCTGGGTAGCAACCGAACAATTTTCTTCACTAAAATTGTCTCCTTTCACCTTCTTTCCTTCTCTCGTGCAATATTCTGTCATCTGCCTTGGTCTTCACTTTCTGCCCTCACCTCCTCATCTCTTTTGCCCCCTTCTCTGGGCTCCTGACTCTTTCTGCAGCCTTTCTACTGCTACTCCTTGGCTCCTCCTTACTGCTGTCTTTCTGCCACATCCCTGATCTTCTGGTAGGAAAGATCTACACCTAGCCTTCTCGGACAAGGGCGAAAAATCTCGGAAGGCCCGTGAGCAAGTTGCGCACGTTAAAGATCCCTTGGTGGTCTAAAATCGATAAGAGTAGGCTTCGGCCGCCACCCGGGCAAAATTCCAAATTTCCTACCAACTGAAAATATTAGGTGTGTCCCGCGCGCTCATATGACCTTATGCAGTTGCGAGCGCCGTAAAACACTTTACAAAACAAACAAACAACAATTAACATGTTCTTATGCTCAGTAGAATTGTAAATGGGCTGATATGCCATGATCATAGTGTTGGAACAACACAGGGGGACCTGCTGCTTTTTCATTCCTCTTCCTTACTATCGTCATTTTTCCTCAACTTCTTTTGTACGTTTGTCACAGTCTTGTGAACTGCTTTTCCGGGGTGTCTTGATAGCTGAAGCAGACTTTGTACTGTTGAGGCTAGAGAGGTTAACAGAGTAAGCCTTATTCCCCCTTTGGACTTCTCTGTTGACCTCCACCCGTTGGCACTCATATGACTTTATGCAGTTGTGAGCGCCGTAAAAACTCTACTAAAACTAAACCAAAGGCGTCGGAGATAAAGTAACAGGTATTGCTTATGCTAATATAGCTCGTCCAAAACAAAAATATTGTAATACTTTTTGTGATAACTTTAGATTCCGTTTACACTGAGGCCTGTAGACTTTAAGTATATAACAAACCTTACTAAAAACAAAAACAATTTCTCCCATTTGTTCTTTCAGTCAAGACGTCCTACTCCCCTCGCCGCTACCAGCCGTCGTCCCGCTCCATCATGTCGGCGCCGGCTGGTGCATCACGTGACCCCGGCCTGGCAGGCCTCAGCAACAGACGTGACGTGTTCACCTGTATCCCGGGCATGCGCACTAGCCGGCTGGGCCGCGACAGCCTGGTCAGCGCAGGGACAGGTCAGGCAGCCACGCGGAGAAGCGAGTCCAAACGATCCTCCATCGCCTCGAGGAAACCCGACAGCGAGAGTGACGATAACGTCGATGATAAGAGCAACAGAAAGGACAGTATGAGGTTACCGAAACTGCAGCTGTCTCAGTGCGACGATGATGAGACGACGACGAAAAACGAGGCCGGTGCCGGAGAAGAGAACCACAACGAAGGCAAGAATGAGAAACAGACGGGCTCCACTTCGGTCGCTCGTCGGAAATCTGTGATGGTGTGCGAGACGGTGGAAGATATTGGACATCTGAGTAGCAGGGACGCGGGCGGCGGACGGGTGAGCCGGCGGGGCAGCGCTGTTGTGGCCAGTGGTGTGGAGGGGAGGACCAAACAACCGTCTCACGGCGCGTCTGAGGTACAGCATGATGAGGGCAGGAGGTCGTCGGTGAGTCATCGAGGGTGACCGGGGGGGGGGGGGGGGGGATTTGATTGAAAATATGTAGTATGTCATCGAAAATTACACGAATTTTCCCCCACTTCACTCAAGTGGGAATGGATACCCAGCTATAGACAGTGAAATATCTTGTCAGTTTGTTAGTGTTTCAGCGCTTAGCCAGCTGCTTCCACTGTATGCTTCCCAGGAAGCTGAGAATGTTCCTGAGTGTTCTATGGTCTGCTGAGGTAATAATGATATAGTGTAAAGCGCATAGAGCCTGCTTTCGAATGGGGAAATGCGCTACACAAATGCTATTTAGTATTTATTATTTATTATCCTGGTGGAAAAAGCGCTCGTCAACATAACGGAACCAAAGTTGAACAGGTTGAGTTTTTTAAATTTCCCCTCTTTTTCGTTGTGGCTTACCTTTCATATCCATTTTAAACATATTTCTAGGTGGATTTGACTAAAAAGAAACTTTTCAGAATGTTTTCTCACAACCATATGTACCAAGAAGAAAAACTAGAGCTCACGCAAATTCAAGTTTCTGAATCCAAGGAATGAATTCACCATAACAAAAGAAAGCACTCCGTATCTGGCTGTGGATAGATTGATGAACGAAATGATAACAATCCTTTGGCCGTCAAAATTCCAACTTGTAGTATGGCGTGTCAAATATTGAAAAATAATGTGTACGTTAATTTACTGCTACGAGGAGCTAATATGTCCAACAGTGGTCGTACACAAACACACATGCACATACACACACAAACACTCACAAATACACGGAAACACTCGCACCCCCCCCCCCCACACACACACACACATATCAAAGAGCACTCACACACATATCAAAGAGCACTCACACACATGTTTTGATAGGTAGACAGACAGCCAGACATATAGATAGATAGATAGATAGATAGATAGATAGATAGATAGATAGATAGATAGATAGATAGATAGACAGATAGACAGATAGACAGATAGATAGACATGTAGATAGATAGATAGATAGATAGATAGATAGATAGATAGATAGATAGATAGATAGATAGATAGATAGATGGATAACCTTGACCTACATTCCCCACAGGGACAGACAAAGGGTCGGGCAAGGTCCGGGAGCTTCCTGAAGACTCCCCACTCGGCCACCGCCAGATCTCTGACGTCACTGAAGAACAGCCAGTCACAGGTGGTGCAGGTGGGAAACCATACCCTGCCGGCCTTTGTACAGGTGGAGACTTTACACCCGGGACAGGCCTTTGTGAGTACATTTGTGTGTGTGTTTGTTTGTTGGTACATTTGTGTGTGTGTTTGTTTGTTGGTACATTTGTGTGTGTGTTTGTTTGTGTTTCTGTGCAGGTGCAGGCATGGGAGGGAGTTGTCTAGCGCGTAAAAAATCAACCCATTTTCAGCTATGTCCCCATTTTCGCATGACGCTCTAGTTTGCATTTGGTCTACCATTAAAAATGTCAAAGATTGAGCCATATTGCAAATTACAGTAGTCCAA